TACGGGCTCCATTTTAATGAAAATTTAGGAGAAAATGAATTTTGCAATAGTGATTTTTTTGGAGAATGTGCTGTTGAAAATGAATTTTTGAAAAAATAGAGGACAAACATAGGCTAAAAGTGCATATGGGAGCTTGAGCAAGCAATCATTTTAGGTCATAAAGTCATAAGTGCATATTTTAACTAGACTACTTTCTTGATTGCAAAATGAAGAGAGGTACACGTGAAATACATAAACAAAGTGATATGAAGTATAATAAACAATTAATAATGTACAACATTTCAGATTTCAGATAAAATAATCACACACTTTAAGTAACAACGCTTTGAACTAAGTATTTGACTATTCAATAATACAGATGAGCCTCCATGAGCTCCTTTTAGGTAAAGATTTGGGGATATCGGTGTGCACCCGAAAGGTAACGATTGCGAGTTCCCCAGTCAGGCAAAAAAAAAAAAGATTTGGGAATATCCTTGAGCACATTGAACATAATCTTGAACTTTATGTGACATTAATTTTGACCACCCAACTACATTTACACGGGCATAGACGTGACACTGCCTATAAGCATCAAGAGGGACACGTTTTGAATTGAAGCATAAATACACGATACATTGGGCCATAGCCCATTGAAGCAAACAGGAAGGATAGCTATGAAGCAAACAGGAAGCAAAGCTTTTCTTGTTGAGTTTTGTCATTTTGTCAATTAATTTATTGTGGGCATACGTGAGTTGTTGCAGTGAAATCTATGTTGGTCAGAATTTGCGCTAATGTTTCTACCATATCCGAGGCTTAGTTTGAGGTCTTTAGATCTTTTTGCCGGCCAGGCTATGTGTTTTAAAAGCTTCAACAAGATACTCGCTAAATACAAAATACTTTATATTTTAAAATGTCAATGTTTACAAAATAAGCTTCAGTGGACCATATTTTAACCTTTTAAACAATGTTTTAAAACCCAACCCGGGCATCAACACCAATAAAAAAAAAAAATAAAAATAAAAATAAAAAAATTCCTAAAGGTTGAATTAGGGTCTAACCGAGATCAAACTGGAGGTAATAAGTAAATATTTATAAACATTTTAATTTTATTTTGACAACAATGTGTAATTAAATTTTCACATCATCAATTCAAAATATGTTAAATGTATGTTTTTTTATATACGCACAAATGAACCTTTGACGATCCAACTAAAGGCCACTCATGACCTCATAAGGCACATAAGATTTTTTGGACAAAATGGTTTGTAGTTTTGAAATTTGAGCGATTAAAATCATGAGAAAAATTTTAGTGAAGAAATGAACTTTTGAAAAATTCGAGCGAGAGTGATCGCTATTGTTTTTCCCTTTATTACGATGTAATGCAATCAATTTGAGCGTTTTCCATTAAAAAAAATAATCAACTTTAATCCAGTAAGAAATTTATATGAGTGATGATTAATCAACTTATATCTAATATGTAACAAATCTAGTACTAGATCCAAGTATCCAAAAAATAGCAATAAAAACAAATTAAAACAAATTCTCAACTATTGTTGAACAACGCTAGAGACAAGATCTAAAAAAATTAATGTTCATGAAAGTGACATGTTGCGACGTGATTTCAATAAAACCAAGTTAGAATAAGAAAGGGTAGACCAATTGCTTTGCATCTTAGAGCCGATCTATTCACGAACAGATTTTTCATGTATCTTACCCCAAATTTATTAAAAACAAAGCTAGTTTGAAATGAAGTATAACTATATTTCATCAAGTTCTTGTACTCAATATAGCTTGGGATAAACGGTAAAAAATATTAGGAACTAAAGCTTCCTGTATTCCTAATATGTATATGATTAGGACATCTTGGCCTTAGCGAACAATATTCCAGCAAAGAGACCTGAAATAGGGCAAACATGTGTTTTTATTAATGTTACTTAAATTTAATGAGACATTCTTAATCCACTGCTGGTTTTATTACCAAATAGTATGCTGAAGAAATTGGGTAGACTTAGGGGAACTTTGAACAGCATTAAACCAGCAATAGAGATAGGAATCTTGTTTAAAGAACCTACAAGACTGCAAAGGGAGTTTTTTGAGAAAGTTAAACATCCGTTTCTCCAGCGGACAACAGAGTCGTACAAGAGAGAACACTGTCAAGAAAATAGGAACATAACGGAAAATAGAAGGTTGGTTTAAATTAAGTACAAGTAACGAGTTAGGTATCTAACTCTGGATACAAGACTCGAAATTTTAGCACAACTATATGAATAGTAGGATTCATTCACTTTCTGAAACCTTGACAATTGGAGAAATATAATTAAGTGTGACCAGCAATTGTTTCTCTTTCTAGACCAAACCCATATATGGATCAAATCCTAATAACTAATTTCAAGAGCAATAATAAGCAAGCAATAGGAGAGCGTTTCTTTATTTTCAAACACTGAAATGTACGTACAGCTATGAAATACTACCATATAGGCAAAAGACAGCGTTTCTTCATTTTTAGTTACCTGTAAGTTGTAGGACCAGTTTTATTCAAGAACCACATAGAGGTGAAGCTAATGGCAAGTCCAAGCAGCCCACTTCCTGTTGCAACAACCCAAAATATAGGCGTCCTTATTACTTCCCTGCATATATTGACAACAATGCATATCAATGTGGAGTGTATTTACTACACTTATATCCTTTAGGTTCCTGGAGAATGTCTGCAAGTATTAAGGCCTAATTTCTTGGAAGGAATGCAAAGAAGTTGTAGGTAGAAATAAGTTTTCTTACGCATTAATTACATAATCCCATTCATCAAACAGGAATATCAAGCAGATAGCAAAAGGTAATGACAATGAATTGTTCAACAACACCATTGAAACTTCATTTAGAGAGCCAGATTTCGTCAAATGCTTTGCTTTGTCCATGACACGTCGCAAGGTAAGCTGTCTCAGATTGCAATTGTCCCAATTAGAATTCAAAGGAGCACATAAAGCAAACAAGGCTTACGAAAACCACATACCGAGTAGCTTGCAGTTAAAATGCAGTTAATTATTTGCCATACATAACCCGAGGCATTGAAGGACAGATCTGTTATGCCTCCACTTATAGCAGAGATTATCTACAGCACCAACATCAAGGAATTGCAAATGATTCTGATTCTCTCCCAAAAGGATATGAAAGGCAGACCAATATGAAAATAGTAATGGACTGTCAAAAGATCAGTTTAGAAACAACATCAACCAAATAATCAAACTTTGATATTCTGATCAAGTCAGTAGAAGTTTCATACGCTGTTCCACAAAAGATATATGTAGTAGAATACTAAAATTCAAATTCATTTTCTTGTGGCTTATTTGGTGGGTGGATTAATTTTCCAGTGGGGAGACATGAACTAGTAAACAGAGATCGTAACAACTTAACAATTTCAAGAAAAGCCAGGAAGTATAAAACACATTATACAAGATATAGCAATCCCTAACTTTCTGGTTCCAATGCTTTCATTAAATACATTGATAGCATATAAATCCATGAAAACAAGAACGAATTACATCATACCATAAGAAATATGGCAGTCCACACTTTCTCATTTTGACGCTTCCGGAAAATGTAAAATTCTCCAATCGCTGTTAAAATATTTGTCACGTTCTTCAGAATTGTCACCATTGCAATATTTATGTGTTTCAAACTGAAAACATTAACATCATTCATTATTGACACAATGATATAAACTATACAAGGCTAATTACAAGAGAGTATATTTCTATTTCTACTAACTGGTAGAGGAAAATGAGATATATGTTAGGTCTAAAAACAATTATTTCTCCTTAATCCTTATAACTGTAATTCACTGTCTGCCTGGTCATGTGAAATGTGAAAAGTTTCCCAGAACATACCTATACATTCCTGAAACAAGCATGCCAATGAATATCAAATTGACTGGGATCCATAGGTTAATCAGCTTCCAATTTGGCTTCTCAATCGTAACCGCTCCACAGAAACCCAAAACAACTACTACAACCGTACTTATAAAATTCTGCGGGAAATACAGGTAAGAAATCAACATTTACCACAAGAGAATACATTATTCATCATATATTATTGAAGGCTAGAAACACTGGATAGACTCTAAAATTGATAAATGCAGAAAAATGAAAAGAAAAATGTGCGGAGACCAATATACAAACTGAAGCAACAGACTAGTTGAAAGAAAATAGAGGGGAACTAAAATTAGTGAACAGCATGATATGAGAGAAAGATATCAGAAAAGGAACATGCTCCATATTTCACCATAACAAGAAAAAAAAAATACCTGGTAGAACATCAATGAAATTCCAGCATTGAAAGCATAACTGGAAAGTACAATTTTGTTCAGTAAGATCATGCTACAAGAAGAAATGCAGTATGCTGTACCAGACAGTAGAGGTCCAGACTGTTTTCCTGATCGATGCTCTCTCCTTTCATTCCTATCAACTATAGGGTCCACAATATCCAATCGTGCTTCTCTAGTCCCTTTGAGAAATCTGCTAGGAAATATAGGTTATTCAACAAAACCTTTCTTATCAATGATTGACTAACTACAATACCATTAAATAACAGCAATTAGCAAGCGATATTTCTTTTTCTAAGAATTTCCCTTATACTGTCAAGTAAAAATTGCTCACATGTTAAAAAACAGTATCATTATTTAGAGAATGTAATAGAACTGTTAAATGAATACAGAACCAAAAGAATAACAACCAAGGATAAGCATACTACACCTTTCACTTGAGTATCTATATTCTGTTGGTTTTAGTGTGTTACTAAATGGCCACTCTTGTGGCCTAAAAAAACCATCACGATCCCTTTGAGCCACGTTCTCTTTTTCACCACGTGTGGCCGCTTCGTCAAAATGTCCGAGTTCTAGTTCCTTGCCATCGGGACCAGTAATTGCATCTGATTTTACTTCACTTGACATGTTACCTGGCTGTAAGGAGACAAAAACTGAGAAGTGAGCTAGCTATCTGTACATTAACGTCTAAGGCTTACTTGCCTGTATCAGCATTAACCGACTATAAAGTATTATACTGTAAAACAAATCATATTATTCAAGTTGCAATTTCTTACAAGTGAAAAAAGATTCTTGATGCGGAGAATGAAGACTTGAGAAACTAAGGAAAGACTGATTTGCAAAATACTTAATTCCGTTTTCTTTCTTCAAAATTTTGATGAACTTTTCATGAAAACAATGAAACCAAAGTACATGAGTCAGATTGCATTCAGAATTTTCGCTGAAAATGTCGGTGATAAAGATTGGAGGTTGCTAATGACGGCAAATCAAGCAATTGTCCTAATCAAGTAAATTTATACAAATTAAACAAAACAGCAATGGTTGGATACCTCCAGAGCTAAAGACTAGATAAATCATATACTCATCAAGCAATAATAATTCAAATCTAGTTAGTAATCTGAAAAATTACTGCACATATGATTGTTTTTTTTTTCTGTAAACGCTCTCTATATATTATATCCTATTAATTTTAAGTATAAATTCCAATTTTGAATTAAATAATTACGGATCTGTAAACTATCATGTATAAATTTTCAAAGTCTTGTGATCCTTAATTACAAACTTAAAACAAGAAGTATGTTCCGTATCAAAAAATTCAAGTTGGAAACTACAAATTGAAGAAGAAACAATCAATCAAAATTCATCTCAAATTGATCTTAGCAATCCATTTTATAAGTCTTGATCTATTTCCAACTTTAGAGATTTCACACAAATAATTCATCGCAAAGAAATACAATATCTGATTAAGCAGTATATAGACAAGTCGGAAAAGGAAAAAAATGAATACCAAATAATTGGAAGAATGTGGAAAGATAATTTAACTTGCATGAAGCATCTACCTTTTATTCGGTGACAGACCAGAAGATGCTTCTCCAGCTAGAGATTATTGAAGCCGACGAGAGATCACCAAATCATTCTCTGATAACTGATTATTCTCTTCATCAGTACATTAAAAGTATTAGAATCAAATTATTCACAATCTTCAGAACACTTTTTAGCTTGAAGGCACCAGAACGCAGCAAAGTTGAAGAAAAGCTCACGCAAAACGCGTGACACAGAAATGAATCACCATCTTTCTACAAAACACGCAAAGGAGCCAGCAAATCTAGCCCATTAAAAGAAAGGGATTAATTATTTTCTGAATTTGAGTGAGTGAGTATAAAATAGGAACTAGATTCAACCTAGCAGCTCCATTTTGGGATCGGAACTGATATCGAGGATTCAAGGTCAAATGCTTAGCTTCCAAAAAGTCACGATTCATCATCTTTTAATCGAATCAGAACAGATTCGCAAGTTAGTGTTTATTAGAATTTGTATCGTATAATAATTTCTGTGTAGAGTAGAAAGAAAGCAGCCGTTGGCAGCAAGGCTTTCCC